AGAATAATGTACTTCCATTCATACATTATTTGTATAGATAAGACAACATTAAAATCAAATATGAAATGGTAAAACAATCGGGTCATAGGTAAACGCACAATAATATCCCACTAAAGTCACATATATAAAAAATCCAATCACAAGTTCTGGTTCTTAACACAATGTCACATAAGGTAGATCACGTTCATCATACTGGCCTTTTCAACATACATCAAACATAGTTTATTAGGTCACAATCAAATAGTAATTGAGGTTACAATTCTGGATTATGTATACAAATAGACAATGTAAAAATCAAATATGGAATGGTGGAACAATCAAGTCACAAATTAACATAGAGTAGTATATTTCTAGGTCACATACACAAAAAAAATTAGTCAGATGTTCTGATTCTAAACGCAATTCTAGATTAATGTCACAAATATTGAATATTATTTGCAATACTTGTGACCCATCAACTGTGACTTTCATAAATAGTCTTCAAATAAAATAAACAACACAAAATTGAAATTACCTTATCCGAAGTCGATTAAATTCTGATCCAAAACATTTCAATTTCTTGTATTCAGGTTCTTTTGTATTTTATCTGTCTTTTTCCTATTCCGGTCTCATCTATCTTCTTCCCTGATCAACTCTCCTTGTTCGAACCATTGTGTAGATTTTTTTCTTGATGATTGGTAGATGCGCCACTGACGGTGGAATTCAATTTCCTATCAGAACTCCTTGTAATGGCCATTATATACACATGCACAATTCACAAACCCTCGCACCGCTTCGCTATTCTGGAAAAGATAATTACTTGGGAGGGCTTTGAAGACTTGAATAGAACACTTTCGAGTAATGAAATATGGAGTTCAATCGTGAATGAAAAATGACGGGGAGATATTTGCGGATTCGGTTATGAATAAATTTGTTATTATCCATTTGAAGAAAGGGTGTCAGAATATTCAGCGGTTTCTCTCCCCAATTTAACGTAAAATGTCGGTTTGATTACGTTTGATAAATATTTATTTACAACATAATAAAATAATAATTAAAACCTGATTATTGAAAAAAGAAACTTAATCCTTCAATTCTGAAATTGGAATACTAAAAGCTGCCCAGGCTGTGATTTCCTCTTTTGAAATTTTTTTCGAGATTAAGCATCACTCAATTCAAAATTAAGAAACAAGATTAAAATTTCAAAAACAAAATATTAATTAAATTTTATTTTATAAAATAATTAATTAAACATGTATCTTATTTATTAAATATACTAAGATCATAATATTATATAATTTATAGTCATAGTTATGTATTAATCACAATTATATACGTCACCATCAAATATCATCGATTTTATAGGCCACAACCTATTTTCAGTCACAAATTTATCAAATTTGCAAGTCACATATTATTCCTTGGTCACAAATCACAAATTTTATGACTCACAACTTATTTTATGGTCATAACATCTCAAATTACATCACAAATTATCGGTTACAACTTAACAAATTTTTAAGTCACCCATCATTTATTTATATGTTACAAATTAATATATTTTTAGGTCACCACTGCAACCACCAAGAAATCACCATTTTCAACCACAAAAATTGCCAGATTCACCACCACCATCACCATCACCAAGAAAACACCACTGCCACCATTGCCATCGCCACCTCTACAATATCAAAATCACCACTGTCAATCTCACAATCTCAAAATCACCACCACCATTGCCACTACAATCTCAAAATCACAGTTGCAACGCTCATATTAGCTGCGCATAGTGACTATCAGAAAGTGCTATGTCGACACCATTGCGCAACCTCACAGCGAAGAGTGGTGGTCATTGGCGGCGACGACGACGATCCATGTATAAGGGAAAGGGAAGAGAGCTAGGAGAGAGGCGGTGATGGAGAAAAGAAATAATGGAGTAATGTAGAGAGAGAAGGAAAAGGAAAAAATGAGTAGGAGTTGGGAGTGAAATTTGGTGGGGGTGAATTGAGAAAGGGTGGGTATATAAATTATTTTAATAATAATAATAATAATAATAATAAATTTAATTTTTACTTAATTTTTGTATAAACAAACTTTAAACTTGACTTTTGAAATTGAAATTAAAAAAAAATCTACCTCCATGTATTTCTACGAGAGTTTACTCATGAATTGGCCCAATTTGTCTTGCATTTTTGTTGATATAGGCTTTTGAATACGGTTTAATGCTGGACATGGTAGGTATTGGGCCTACCTAAAAATGCCTAGCTCAATTTAAGTTGGTCAATAAAGAGTAATTATTTAACATCATTAGTGTTAAAACATCAGTTTCGATAACATGCAAGTGTCATTAATTGATAGATCACTTTAAATATAGAGACACAAGTCATATTTAAGATGTCATGTCACTTGCATTTCACATAGATGAGTGCTATAGCACGGATGATTTATTCCTATTACCCATTACTTACAACGTTGGGCATTGAATAACGTGAGGGCATCATGAAGTGCCGCCGCATAAATATCCAAAGTAGCAGACAGTGGTGCTAGAGCCCGAAGGTCATGAATCCAGTCAGTCAACAATCTCGCGCCCAAGATAGAGCACATACACCACATTTAAACTTTTAGCTCACAATTGTACATCCTAAATTCATGGATTTTGCCATGTTTAGTTAAACCAGATATTTCGTCAAATTTTATCAAAATCTCCCTAAAATCAATTTTTTTTTAGTAACTCCTCCTCCTCCTCTAGTTATAGATACCAACTTCTTTGATTACATTTGATTGTAACAGAACTGCGTTATCGGGGTCCTCCATGTCGATGTCCTCCTCCTCCTACACCCCAATCTCAATTATATTTTGAATCGTTTGATAATGATTGAACAACACAAAACACCGTCAGTATTGCCTCCACCATATTGATATATGTTGGTGGTTTATTGGTTTATTGCTGAATACCACAAATAATGTTTTTCTCCATTGGTGTGACAAGAACTTCGATCCTCACCAAAAGAGATAGGGAGCAAAGAGAAAAATACTCCATTTATGGCAATTATACCTTCCTAAGAGTATCTCCAAGAGACTCTCTATTTAAAATAAATAGTATTTAGTATTTAATGAGTCACTTGGAGATATTCTAACACTGTGTAAAAAAAGAGAGAAAAATACTAAGCTTCTATCAATTAACCTTCTTAATTGATATATGTGGAAGTATAAAAACATGCAATCTAGGTCTCATTAATTTCAAATGTCAATGCAATATGATCATCTTCTAGTTTCTGTTGATTTTCATGAATACCAAAAAAAAATAATAATAATAATAAATTAATTAATTAATAAAATAAAATAAAATTCTAACATCAAAGACTCAGCGATTCAAGCATGAATACCGAAAACATGGGCTCGTTGATTTGAAACGTCAATATCGATAACTAAACAAATTGGAGAACTTCAAAGTAACTATATATTGATCCTTAGATGTCCATCAATATGAATTCTCTTTGGACCACTCTATGGATTCCACATGAGGCTCTGCACCAAAATTTGAAAGACTCTCATAACTAGCATCATCCAAATTAAGGGGAAAAAAAACCTTCAGTCTTCTCGTTAAAAAAATGGGAGACCTTAGTAGATATTATTATTTGAGCCCTCGTTTGAGCCATATTATTATAAAAATGAGAATGAAAAATATAGTCGTTATGAGCTACACACAAGAGATAAAAAGTCAAATATGGTGGCTTGATGTGATGGATAACAGTCATATTTTTTTATTTTAATGAGGAAATATTTAAGCTCAAATAGATTTGAAGATTCTTTCACTTGCATATTGAATGGGGTGAAAAAAATTTCGTCACGTAACATGAATCAGTCATTGAATTTCACGAACTATAACCTTTCTCTATCGGGATGTGAATGTGCTCTAATACTAACTTATGCAGGCGGAAACATAGAAATATATAATGAACGAATATGCGATCTAACTAAAATAAGCTATGGGTAGAAGATATCAACTCTTTTGAGTCATTTTTATACCAAGTCCTTAACCGACTATTTTTTATTGTGGAAGTTACAAAATTCTCGGTATTTGAAAATCAAAGTGCAAAAGTCAGGTCAGAAGGTTTTTTATTCAGATTTCAGGTTTTGAAAATATTAAATATTCTCCCACTTGTACCAAACCCCCCCCCCCTCTCTCTAAACAAGTGGATCTAACTTGGGGATGATGGGGGCTTTGAAATTCTTGAACATAGAGACAGAAATTTGTGGTTGCTTTACTAGAGAGAGGAAGAGATAGATACAGAGATATATCTCGCGACTTGAGCGCCATAGTGACCGCCTTTCGAGCGCCGATAGTGATGGTGGTGGTTGTGATGGTGTGTGTGGCGAGAATGTGTAGTGTTTGTGACCAAGTATTGTGGTGGAATTGGATCTAGATTGGATGTGGTGTCACGGCGGTGTGGTGCTAGCGTTGATTGGGTGGTGGTGATTTGTGGTCAAGATTGGTGCTGGATTGAGACCGGTATAGTGGAATGTTTGGAATCTGTGACCAACTATTGTAACCAACTATTTCGCTGATTTGTAACCAAAAATTAGGTGTTTGTGACTAAAAAATAAATTGTGACCTATAGATAAAATATGATCTTTAATTTGAATGACCCGTGACCTACAAAAATTTTGATTTGTGGCATCGAAATAATAGATGACCAATTAATTTGATGATATATGACCAGTGAATAAATCTGTGACCGATATTTATGAATCCGTGACCATTAATTGTATAACAGTGATTTTATTATATTTAATTAATTATACACATACTTAAATTTTGAACTTTTAAACTATTGACTTGGCTTTTGAATTAGTGTAAACAATACATTTGAAATGTGAATTTTTCCCTTTTTTATTCTGCGCCCTTAATTAGTCTGATAAGCCAACCACTGAGTTTTGCGATAAACTGGGCCATTCATTAAGACCCAAAGTAATGAACTAGACCTCTTCTGGGACCGAAAGATTCAAGAAATTATCCAGCCCAATCTGTAAATACGACGCGCTTAGCACGTGACTGCCCCTGAAAAAAAATCCAGACAACTGCTCAAACTACAAATCAATCACCGAAAATGGTTTCTTTCCGCTTCTTATTCTTGTTTTCTCAGCCCCCAAAGCTGCCGATCTCCGCGGCCTCCAATGCCTCCCGCCGCCCCTTCTCCGTTGGATGCTCGATCGCCATCGCTACTACGGTAGTTACCGCCGCCGGTGGTGGCATCGCCATTTCCCGGAACCCGAACAACCCATTTCTTCAAGATGCTCTAAATTTCTTGACATCCAATTTCTCACCCAAAAATAACTTCACTCCCCTGTGGGGTTCCATCTCTCTCGCTGATAACTCGGCTCCGGTCACTGAATCAAGAACTGGAATGTCTTTTCCTGCCGTTCTGAAGGATTCTCAACAGCTCCTTGGAATTGGGTTAAGGAGAAAAGCTATCTTAGGGTTGAAAAACATCGATGTCTATGCCTATGGTACCGCATTTTACCTTTTATTACAATTTAAATGCAAATTATCCATTATTTTTTAGAGTGTGAACTTCATATGAGTTTTGATGAATTTAGGGAAATAAATTTCTTGTACTAATATCAACTAGCAACCAGAAAACCTTAAAAGGCCTTGTAGGATTCCTGATATCCTTTTGTCATTTTGCGTACTTTATACTTTGTAATGATATATAATATACTAGTTCAATCTACAGTGATATTACACTTTCCGAACAATGTGAATTTGTCATACATATTTTGCCAAGTGGTGAGTCACCTCGTCTAAAAGGTGACTAGACACGTTTATTTATTTGAATTTACTCTTCAGTGTATACGTCGCGTGCATGATAGATTAATTTTTACCCCAAAACACATGTACAGTTTTCATAAATAGACTATGGCGTTGTTTGCCACGTTGAATTGCCTTATTTTAAAAGCTCATGATGTCAGAGAGATGACATAATTATGTATTTAAATTAGCGTTAAACATAGAGATAAGGGATGCATAGTCTCGGTTTTTAGACTTCGTAAATCATGATCATCATTGTGCTTTCCCCAAATTCTTTTTTGACATTTTTTATAGGTGTATATGCCGATGATGGTGATGTAAAGAAGTTTCTTGGTGAGAAATATGGAGCACTTTCTACTACTGAATTGAAGGGAAACAAACAGTTAGACAAGGATCTCATGGAAAGTGATGTACGCATGACTGTTAGGCTTCAAATAGTTTATGGAAAATTGAGCATTCGTTCCGTGAGGAATGCTTTCGAGGAGTCTATTGGTAGCAGATTAAAGAAGTTCGGGACAGAGGACAAGGAGTTGCTCCAAAAGTAACGTGCTGTTTTCACTCTATTATGTCTCTGCCTATTGAATTTGTATATTACACATTAAAGTACTTGGAAAGAGGATTTCTTATCTTAAAAGTGTTCTTATTGGACACTACCCTCCTTCCTAACTTCATCATGCATGGAAATGAATAAGGGTTTTGGATTAAAGGTGCCTTTTGATGCTGTAGTAAGATTGTATTAAATGATGTGTTACGGACATTGGACATTATTGCTGTCTTAATGTAAGCCTGTGTACTCTTTACGTCTTTAAGTTGCCATTTTTAATTGCCACCGGTCTTTGGCTTGCTCATAATTTTTAATATTGTAAATATGATATGGAATACATCACTAGTAAACTAAAAATTATCAAATTCGCAATTGGAAATTTGGAATGCTTGTTTCATTTTTTGTAAAGCTAATATGGTCCTTATGTGTACAGATTCACTTCCCAGTTCAAAGACGAGTACAAATTACCTCGGGGATCCATAATTGATTTGTCAAGGGAGCAGGGTTATGTTCTTCGCACTACAAGTAAGATTATCATTTGTTATGGTACTAAATGTGCACGCAATCTTATTACATGAGCGATGAATTGCTTTTATATTGTAATTTTGCATCTTGCAATTTATTTTTCATATCGAGTAGGGAAAATTGCAGGGTACCAAACATTTCGTTTATTAGCAAACTTGACACAAACCTTTAATTTGTGTCTAGGAAGGTCTTGAACCTTTAAAAAACTCGCAAGTGAAGTCTAGACTAACAAAAACCGTTAGTGAGACCATCAATTGATCCTAGAAATGAAAAATTTATAATTTTGACAAAATAAAGTAAGGGCATTTCAGTTAAAAAAAAAAAAAAAAAATTTCCCTTTTAAAAATCTGAAAAACCAAAACACCAAAATCAAATGAAGGAAAAGGTGAAGAGGAAATCAAGAATAAAGGAGCTGGAAGGGTGGGAGATCAGGAAGTAAAAGAAGGGGAGACTGAGGAGAGTATGTGGGGGAGGTGGAGGCACATACGATCGCTTAGGTAACGGACATGGTGGTGAAAGTGGGTCAAGATTTCTGAGACCTCGTGTAAATAAGATTAAATTTAGAAGGTGGGTGTAGTTGTATTTGACAAAGTCGGATTCTTGCTAAGCGAACTCAAAAGCTGTTGAAGATAGGGTCTCTTCATAGGTGCAGTGAGCGGAAACCGATCATTTTGATCCTGTTGTTGATTTCCATCTTAATAAGAATCTGAAGGGTGCTGATATTCACAGAAGATGAAGAATTTGAAGGGTAGCGTGTATTTGAATGAAAAATTTGTAAAAGATGAGGGTGCTTTTGGGTTGGGGAAGAAGAGGGCAGTGGGGTAGAGTTGAAATTGGAAGAGAAGCCACTATTTTCTATTTCGATCTGAACTTCTGATTTCTTCTGACACATTACATATATAAGAACAAACCCTCTAGTGCATGCGTTTGTGAGAGAGGAAGGGAGCGGAGGCTACAAGGAGTTTAACGGTGTCTGAGAAAAGGATTAAATTTGATACTAATGGCGACCAGCCGCAAAAGCCATGGACTTGTTATAAAGGATTTGCCTTTTTTATTTTTGAAACTAAAAATGTGTTTTGACTGAAATGCCCTTACTTTATTTGGTCAAAATTATAAATTTTTCTTTTCTAGGATCAATTGACGGTTTCAGTCAGTTTGGACTTCACCTACGAGTTTTTTAAAGGCTTGGTACAAAATATTTGAGTCTAAGTTTGCTAATAAACAAAAGGTTTGTTACCTTGACTGCAATTTTTCCTATCAACTATATAAATCAAGCTTAATCTGCATTATGCAGTTGATGGAGTGGAGGTCGGAAGTATAGAGAGCAAACTCTTGTGTCGGTCAATCCTAGATCTATACATCGGTAATGAACCATTTGATCGGAAAGCAAAAGAAGACGTTGAGCTCAACTTGGCTTCTCTCCTTGGAAAGTAGCTACAACAATGAATAAACCTTGTCCTTTTGCATAAGATACACAAGGCATTATGCTATATCTAATCATCGCGGAAGTTAAAGTAGTGATTAAGAGTTATTTCATGCAGATGCAACTTTCCTTTGCGTGTGAATATTCATAAATTTGTTATATTTGGAAGCCATTGATTTAGCAGAATTACACAAAGTTGGTGAATTGAACGTGCGTCTTGTACAAGATAAACGTGCCCATTTGCTGAACCAATTTATGTTTCTTTCTTTGAATCATACCATTGATTCATCTCGTCTTAAAAGGTTTTAAGTTATATTGGCAAAACACATGTTCACATCTGGTTTCAATTCAATTATTTTATCAAATTTGACACGTGTACAATTTTCCATAATAATTATGACACAAACGGTATGCAGCACCTGGATGAGATTAAAGAAGAAAAAGAAGTTAATATTCTCTTATTGCATATATTTTTTTTAGGTATATCGCGTATTAGGAAAACAAATTGACAGTGGAGCTCCATGTTTGTGGCCACGTTTATATACATCTAACAATGGTGAATAACCTAGTTTTAATGCACCGAGACTAACCAGAAATTCACATTCTTGAATGACTCTGAGGCTGATGAAAAATCACCTGCCAAACACATAATTTGCCTATTTGAATGCATAATAAAACAGCAGATTGAAGATGAAGAAACTAACAAGGAACAAACTTCTATGATAGAATTATAGCAAATTATTCTAATGTGATCATGTCATGATCAGATTGATAATAATCAAGATGTCAACTTATAATTAAATTTCAAAATTGCTAAGTTTGAAAAGTACTAAGCCATTTGAGTTTCATTCACTTCGCTGATGCGGTGATACCAAACTTGATCCCTTCTGAGTATTGTTGTCTCTTTTGATAAGAACATTGCTCTTAACAAGGAGTTTCCTAATGCAGTAAATTATCAGTACTTCAGCTCTGACAGTTGGCTGGGGCACGCGCTTATAATTGGCGGTACATTCCTTCCACAAGCTGGGGAGGATTTCTGGCTTGGTCCATTTGGAGATGACTCCGTGTTTTTTGGAACAGAAGAATTAGATGGAGACCCAACTGCTAAATATGGTGCCGGATTGTTTACTGTAGACCGTTGTCCTGGAAATGCTGAAGCTGAGGCTATATCACTCTTGAAAGATATCTGTGTCTGGCCTTGAGAATTCCTACGTTGTCCCTGAGGAATGTTTACGAGGCTTGAAGTAGTAGGTGCAAATGAAACTCCTCCAACCGTTGTTCTAGGCAAGTTATGCCATTGAGTTGATAGGGATGAATTGTTCCGATACATAGAAATTTTTGAGCTAACACGATTGTTGGTTGGGACATTGCTAGTAATAAAAGTACTAGGGACACATGTTGGTTCCTTAATATGACCAATCAGCTGCATTTGCTGCTTCTAAAGATGGACAAGCTGCTGCTGGTTCCGGTGCTGTTGTGAGTTCCGTGCATTGACATAATCAAAAGATGCGACTGCAGCTGAGGATGAAAGAAAAGGTTGATTTCCACCAACAGGTACAGGGAGAAAATTGACTGTTCGTGATGAACCATCAAAAACTGAAGTTCCCGTGTGTGATTGAATACCACTTGTTGGGGGGCTTCCCTAATATACATTTTTGCCCGTCATCTGTATTATTTGAACCAGGTGTAGTTTTTCTTTGTGGTACCTGGGAAATCTTATGTTGTCGAACCATTTGGGCAGTAGGTGTCATCTGTTACCCATACTGAGCCATATCAGGAAGCATCTGGAAGATTGCAGAATTTTGTGCAATGGATGAGAAGTTAATTGCTGGAGTTGTAGACGCATTTGAACCAAACAACAAGGAAAATGCTTGAGGGATGACGTCAACTCTACAGTTAGATCCCTGCTTCTGTGGATCACCATGTTTGTTGCCTATTGCACCACTATTCATTTTCCCCGGAGGAAACAGGGCAAAATTTGTTGATGGAATTGGAATTAAAAGGTTCGGAATATTATTTGTATTCAAAGATTGAGATACTGCACTATCAGCAACTGCTGCGCTACTTTTTCCAGAGATATCAGTGTCAGACTTGCTAGATGAATGGGATGGCAGGTGTTGCTGCTTCTCTTGCAGATCTGAATGTACAGTTGGTACGAGAAAGCTATTGCCATTGATTTTTATGCCGGTTCGTTGACAACCATGTTGTGATTTGTGGGATGATGCATCACTGGATGTGAGAGTATTGTGGAGCTGATTGTACTAGAACATGAGGAGGGGACAACTGTGACTTATTTTGAGGAAAACTAAATGGTGGCAAAGAATAATAACCGTTAAGAAAAGGAACAACTGGGGGCCTGTGTTCCTGTAGGAGGGGGCATTTCGATGTTGGAACTGTATGGGGGTGCTTCATTGGAAGGGAATTTTGAATGATTAAAGCTTAGTACTGAGAGTCCTGCTGCTAAATTAGTAGACAAAGATGCATTGCCCATGATAGAAGCAGATTGAGGAGGTCCAGAACTATTATCCATAGCTGCCACTGCTGCTTGACGATCACCAAGTGGAAATATCAAAGTAGGGCCATGCTACAAGTCAATGAAGATATTACCATAAATCTTTGAAATTATTCTATTTGTAATTGGGCAACTTGAAATTAAGATTCATAAACTAATAAGAAAATTATTGACAGTGCAACTTACCAGCAAGGACTTGCTGTGGAAGAACATGATTTCTACTCTTTCCATTATCAGAACTTGCAACAGCTTCTGAGCTTTTGTCTTTTCCATTGGTTCCTGGAAAGAAGTCTACTCGTGATGGGTTTTCCAGTATCATCTTCTGTGTTGATTGCATAGAATTAAGATTTAACGTCTTAGTAAGACCAGCTGCTCCAGACCACAGAGCTTTCTCAGTAAGTTGCTGATGATAACAATTGTTCTGTGCAATATACTGATGTGTTGCGCATCTCTTTGGCTGAGGCTGTGAGAGTTTAAATGGAGGTAGCTGCACATTTTCATATTCAACACAAATTTAAAAGGCAAATAAACAAGAAGGTATCAAGTGGGAACAAGTAAAGTATCACAAAAGGAAAGAAAAAAAGACACCTGAAATGCAGTTGAAGATCTGACACTTCCATTTATGGGATTGTCCTCAGAGAAGGCATAAGTCTGCAAATGAAATAACTTGTTAAGTAATGGGCTATGCCAACTGGAGAAATAATAAAGGACTTAAGAGGTTTAGAATCACCCCGAATGAGAAAGAGCATCAGGCCAGCTACTCGTCGCAATTGAGAAAGGCAATGAGGAAGATTGCACTACAAAAAGAACAATCCAAATAGTTTTCGAATTTAATTCTAGAAACACAGCAAAACATGAAGGTCATGCACTGGATTAGAAATTTCCAAAAGGATTAAAATTGAGTTTTCTGCTCCTTCCTGCCCTGCTGTATGGTTTACTTAGGCCACTGCTACTTGAAATATCAGGATAAGGCTTCATGATATCAAGGTTTACCAATTCTTCCCATTTTTTCCTCTCCAGGCACTGCAACTGCCGATGGATCATCCTATTAAACAATCAAGGATCTTTCACTTAATGAACAAGCGGAAAATATTTTCAGTCAAATTGCAAAAATAAAATCATAATCTATGAAAAAAGGCTACAGAGAGATTACACACCTTTTGAACATTATGGCTACATTTATGATCGTACACCATACAAGTCGACCCATCTCTTTGAGGGGACGAAGGCAAGGGTGGAGGAGCCTATTAAAACACAACCATCTTCAGAATACTCGCACTTAAAAAGAAATCACAAACCAAATTACCAAAAAAGAAAAAAAAAAAAAGTTTAAAACCCCTCTCGCCATCAAATCAATCTTGAACTTGGTCTCTCTAATTGTCTCCAACTCCATTGCTGGGGAAATGGTGGCAGATAGCCACAAAAAACATACAATTTTTCAAAATGGCCGTTGACTACTGTTTAAAAAAAATAAATTCAAAAATTTGTAAAAACCTTAAAAACATTGAAAACCCAAAATTGCCCCTGACATTTCACTCTCAAACCGACGTCTAGAGAAAGAAGGGGAAGAAAAAACAAGAAAATCGATGAGTTTTTCTTGGGAGGAGATCGACCGGCCACCATTAGAAGCGAAGGAAGTAAGTTTTGCTTATTTTTCCCCCCCATTAATCTTTGAACCTGAATGTTAAAGGCTTATTTGTTGGAAATAGTGGTAGAAATCTTTGTAAAATATATAAAATTACTAAAACTAAGTTTTTTTAAGGCTTGGTTGCTAGAGATCGTCGGAAATGGCGATCTTCGGGCAGAAGCCATCTGTTGCAGACGACCTTTGCAAGAAGGAAGACGGGTTGTGCCGTCTATGCCCGTCTGTTAATAGACTGCCTAGGCAGTTTGTCTGGGCCGTTTGAAGTATTTTTATTTTAATTTTTTTTCCATGAGAATTAAAATAATTGAAATGTTGTTCAATTATTATTTAAATGATAAAAGAAAAATGTAAATAATGAATAAATGTTAATAATCAAAATACGCAATTAAAATTTAATTACAGATTAATTGAAAGAAATTTCTAACATTTGAAACAAATAATTAAATATTTATGTTTACTTGTTCAATAAATAATTTAAATAATCTATCTATATAAGTAAATAAATCAATAATTTAAATGAACAATTGAAATGAAAAATCATTGGAATAATAATTAATTTCTCACAAAATAAATTATGAATATTTAAATAATAATTAAATTATTATTTAAATGATAAATAAATAAATATTATTAATCAAAATACGCAATTAAAATTTAATTGATACAAATTTCTAACATTTGAATTAAATAATTAAATATTTACTTTTGCTTGTTCAATAAATAATTTAAATAATCTTTCCATATAAGTAATTAAATCAAATAATTTAAATGAACAATTAAAACAAATAATGAAAAATAATTGGAATAAATAATTAATTAAAATGCACAAAAATAAATAATGAACACTTAAATAATAATTACATGATCATTTAAATGATAAATAAATAAATGTTAATATTGAAAATATTAATTAAAATTTAATTGAAATAAATTTCTAACATTTGAAATGAATAATTAAATATTTACCTTTGCTCGTTCAATAAATAATTTAAATAATCGATTCATATAAGTAATTATATCAAATAATTTAAATGAACAAATAAAACAAATAAATGAAAAACAATTGGAATAAATAATTAATTGAAACGCACAAAAATAAATAATGAACATTTAAATGATAAATGAATAAATGTTAATAATCAAAATATCAATTAATGTTTAATTGAAATAAATTTTTAACATTTGAAATAAATAATGAAATATTTGCGTTTGCTCTTGTTCAATAAATAATGTAAATAATCGATCAATATAAGTAATTAAATCAAATAATTTAAATGAACAAAAATAATTTAGATAAACAATTGAAATAAATAATGAACATTTAAATAAAAATAAACAATTTAAATAAGGAAGAAATATAAATTTTCAAAATAATTTATTTAAATATGTAATTAAATATAAATAATCAAATTTAATTAAATAAAAATTGAAATAAATTTCTAACATGGATTTAAATAAACTATGAAATAAATAATTTTATAAAAAATTATTTTTTCCCCTTTTTTATAAGTTGTTGTGTAATTTTTAATTCATTTTCTTTATTATCTGTTATTTCGTGCATATATTACTTACAGTTCGGTTAGTTAAATTTTGTGACATTATGTTTCAAATGTTCTAACATTTGAAATTTTGCAGGATGGATTACCATTTGGACGCAGCCTTGAGACAGGGTCCTGTGAAGTTACGTTGAACTGTAACTTTGCCAGCTTCACAACAGTGCTGGATTCACTGGACGAGGAGCACGCAGAAATATTACGTCGATCCTGCCTATGGCCCCTGTATACACTGCGATCTGTACAATTCTCTGGACAATTGATCAATTCATTACTGTGTCGGCTACTTAAGCCAGTGGATGCCCTCTACTTTGATCTTGGGGGCAAGGTTGCTACATTTTCTGTATTCAAGTTTGCCCTCATCACTGGATTGAGATGTACGGGCGAAGAGCTAGCGAAGGCCAGTATTTCGACAGACAAGAGGCTACTGAATGATTATTTTAATGGGCACACGACAGTGACACTGGCGCAGTTAGAAGATGCATTCAGGGGATGCGACCAGATGTCCGACAAGTTGAAGTTGGGGATGTTGTTTATACTAGAGAGCGTACTGAGGTGTCATCACGGAAAGACGTCGATTGACGTTTTTCATTTGCAAGTTGTCGATGACATCAATACGTTCAACAACTATCCGTAAGGGGAAAAAATGCTTTTTCGATACTTTACACGTCTTCAGGAGGGGGCATTCGATGCCTAGGGGAGATAGGTCGGAGCGTAAATTCGTGATCGAGGAGGAGGATCAGACTTATATCCGTGAGTTGTTGACAGATCGTGCTGCTCAAGAGAGGCCTGAGTCCATCGTCGATCAGGACACGGTATGTTAATTGACTATAATATGTTGATTATCGTTATAATTTTTTAATTAAGTTATTGATTTGTAATGTTTCTTTTTTTAGGAGCGCCGTTGACTATCACCTCTACCGAGGGTGTCACATTCCCCGAGGATGTCGCCTCCGTCGAGGGTGTTCCCTCCCTACATGCGATCACCTCCGTCAAAAGTGTCATCTCCCTGCATGAGATCACCGTCTCCTGCTTCCGGACACCTCCCATGTGGATCAGCTGCACGTAGTCAAAGTGCTTCCATCGATGATATGTTCCGACTTATGATGGAGATCAGAGGCGACGTAGCTGGCTTATGAGGCGAAGTAGCTGACTTACGATGTGATGTCGGTTTAGGAGACCTTTATGCTGAAGTTGTAGCGATATGGGGCAACATAGTAGGCCTACGTGGGACTGGCGAGTATCAGGATGGAAGGGGTGGCGGAGGGACAGGCGGCTATCAGGACAGATGGGGTGACGGAGGGACATGTGACTATCGGGACGGAGGGGTAGGCAGTTATCAAGATGGAGGGGGTGACGGAGGGGTCGGTCGTTATCATGGTCGAGGAGGTCAGATGGGTATGTTGACTCGTTGTGGGCATTGGATGATGCATTAGCTTCATATCTCGATAGCCCGATAGATATGGAGATGGAGGATCAGGCCCCGATGAAGACGGAGGAGGAGGTCGAGAGGGTACTGATCGGGAAGGTGTTAGAGGAGGAAGGGGTACCTGAGGCGGAGGTCGGGAGGGTGCCGGAGGCGAAGGTCGTCAGGATGTCAGAGGATGAGGGGGTCGGGAGGGTGCCGGAGGAGGAGATCGAGAGGGTATCGAAAGAGGAGGGGGTGTCGGAGGACGAGGTCATCAAGGTGTTGGAAGAGGAGGGGGTTGGGAGGGTGCATGAGGAGGGGATCGTGAGGGTGTCGAAGGAGGAGGGGTGCCGGAGGATGAGGTCGTCAGGGTGTCGGAAGAGGAGGGGATACCCGAGGCGGAGGTCGAGAGGGTGCCGGAGGAGGAGGGGGTATCTGAGGCAGAGAAGGTACCATATCAGATGCCAGACTCGCCGGACGTAGTTTTTGTGTTGAAGGGGACGAAAGAGGTGGTTCTGATGGTATGTGAGGGAGTGTCGGATATTGGGAGGGTTTCGCATACTGTTGATGTGCCAGAGCTAGTGGTTGGCAAGAGGCTGAGGGCACCATCACAGTACGTCGTTTTTCCATTTACCGCGGAGGCGAAAAGGAGGAGGTTCGTCGAAGGCACGCACCCGAATTTATTCAGGGAGGTGGACCACGCTAAGTGGAAAGCGTTCGAAGCGGAGTGAAGAGCACTTATGCCTGGGTAAATATTGTATTATTCGTTAACGATTAATACATTACGCAGATGCTGACACATCTATATTTTTACTTAACAATTTCTTTTCTTATTTTTCAGAGTCAGTCGCAGGATTGCTCATAAGAAGATCTCGGACGCTTACAAGTAGTTTCACGACATCACAACTTCAGGGGCTTGGCTCGCCGATGATGTAAATGAAGTAGTAATATTGTTATTTATTACGTATACATATTTTTGCGTTTTGCATTTATGAAATTAAATAACTTCTTTTTTAATTGGTGCTTCCTAGTGCAGCACATTGACTTCGCCATGGATTTGCTACGAGATCGAGCTGAACGACATCTAAGATCGTTCAACATTCTTGGTCAACTCATATTGAACACTGAGTTCATACATGTTGTTGAAATTGAGTGCCAGACGTTGCAAGCTATGGGTAGCGAGTACACGGTGCCTACATACATGATGTAGTGGGTCGTAGGGATGTGGCCGAGTATCGGGGGAAAGCCATGGGAGGGTTGTACACATATGTACATTCCGGTGTGTGTCAATCATCACTACATTGCAGTGGAGATTGTATTTGCCGACTCGACTATGTATGTATATGACCCCCAATCATTCATGCTTGACACAAGGTCAGCTCGAGCAAAATCTAGAGTCGGTGTCTGTGATCGTTTCTATGCTGGCTAGACAAGCGAACATTACTGTGCAGGACAGACTAGCCACCATGCGGGACACGACGACGGCGAGACAGTAAATATCGTGAGTGTTTATTATTTTATTTTTATAATTTACAACTTATGTTCTAGTTAGACGGTGATGTTCTAATACAATATTTTGTAATTGTAAGGGTGATTGCGGCATATTCGCTATCAAGTACATAGAATTTTTGAGTGTAGCACAGAAGGTTGATGCAATCAACCAGGCGTGGATACAAAATTGGAAAAATAAATTAGCTTATGATTTAATTGAATTTAATGGTGATCCGTAGATATTGAGCGGTGCTTCTTTAAAATAATTGTACATATTGTAACGTTTAAACATTGTATATTTCATTCATTCATTCATTTGTAATTACGAAATAATTGTAAAATATATATTATTTTTTTAATATTTAATATTTATTTTTTAGTTTATGTGTTTATCTAAATGTTTCATGACGTATTTATAATGTTTGAGTATATTGTGGAGAACGCACTGAGTTTTAAAAAGGATTAACTTTAAATATTACGCAACTAATTAATGAACTATTAAAATAAAAAAACTAAATATAATAATTAACATTAAGAATATGCGTGAATAATTAATATCAATGTTATAAATAATGTTACATAAATTTCAATTATACATCTGTTACGTTATCATGCAGAGGGATCTGACTTGTACAAAATCTTCTAGTATGTCCTATTGCATTGTACCTGCCGCACTTACGAGGTCAAGGAAATTCTCTGGTCGATGATATTCTAGACGTACATGTATGTCCAGAAGTAGGTGGGTCGACTGCTGGTGGCAACAAGTTATTCAATGAGAGAATGTGATCGGGAACTTCCCACTCAGCTTCACTCGGTACAGGAAATATGGTTTCGGCATATGCTGCTCTCCAAGAACCAGTCATGTAATAAGCACTGCATAAGGTGTGTGGTGAAATTCCTCTATACATAGCCACCGCCACTGCATGTGTACATGGAAAACTCTCTAACTAAAATTGTTTATATGTGCAAGTGTTATCATTCAAGTCGACGATGTATTCGAAATTACGTGTACATCTCGTGGAGAACCAAAACTGATCTAGTGGTTCTACATATATATTCCTTGTCACCTCTAGAGTCTTGAAGAGTTTATCTTCCAGAGTCGGGGTTAGCATACTTGTGCAACTTTGTGATTTCTCACGACGATCATGAAACCACTGTTGCAATTTGTCATGAATGTTCTCAAGCATTGCAAGAATTGGTTACTCTTGATCCTTCTTAAATAAGGCATTAAGCGACTCCGCATTGTTCGAGGTTATTATATTGTATCGACGTCCTGGAAAATGTGGTCGTGCCCAATGTTTGATCCCCATCTCTGTCAAATACTCCCACACATCATAAGATTAACTTTCAATTTCAACCATAAGCTTTTCAAACTCTTAAAAACTGTAAGCCTCTGCAACTCTCCTAAATAACATAACGATGCCCTTGTCTCGATACTTGGTCTTCAGATTTCCTTATATATGGTACATACAATAACCATGATGTGCCTCGGGGAAGACTTCGGCGATACCTTTAATTGTTGATTGCCCTTGGTCGGTTACGAATGTAAGGTTCTCGACATCCCCAATTACTTTCCTCAACTTCGTGAAAAACCAACGCATTGCCAAATCATTTTCTCCTTCAACTATGCCGAATGCAAGAGGGTAAATTTGGATGCTAGCATCTTGACATGTTGCAATAATCAACTTGCCCCCGTATCTCGCCGTGAGGGTTGTACCGTCGACTAGGATTAAGGGTCGCATTGCGTTTTGAAATCCTCGAACGCATTATCCAATGGTCATAAAGAAATACTTGAAGCGATTCTCGTCATCATTCTCAATAAAAAAATGCCGATTCAGTATTAATTATTCCCATGTTATAGCAAAACTTGACCAATTAAATAAACAATAATCATAATTTAAATAATTAAATAAATATTATTAAAAAAATGAAAAATTGACAATTGAGTTAAATAATTAATTGCACATTAGATAAAGAATCGATAAATAATTAAATAAACAATTGAAATTAATGATTGAATTAATTAGATAACTATTAAATAAACATCTAAACAAAGAAATACCTGGCCAATTTAGCATAACTCTCCTCGATCAAACCCATTAAGTCCTCCAACGCGCATTCTTTGACTTTCTAAGCCTTCTGATAGCTCATGACCACCCCATACTCTCGACGAACGTCATTAATAATGTCTGAAGGTCTGTAGATTGTTCGTGAGTCCTGAAATTTGTGCATTACTTCTTGACCAATGAACCATGATCGGGCTTGCCTGTAATCATTTCGACGAATACCCACTTCACAAGTATGTTTCCGTGCATACTTACGAACCACAAAGAATTCATTCGTGTCCATTTTCATTGCTCGAAAATGCCAAAGGCAACTGTCGTCAACGCAGACAATTGTGTAAGTCGACTTGTTTGATTTCTTTACTTTAAACTCAAATTTGTGTTTCAAAGCAATTCGATAAACAGCTTCCTGCAAATATTTCTTCGTGTCAAACAGTTGCTCGACATACAAATCTTCATCATTGGGGACTATACACGAACAATTAGAGGAACATGCACTCGGTCCAGCCTGTGAGCTCCCACTCGACGCATGTCTCAGATGGGATAAAGCAATCAAATTCTCATTTGTAAAGTCATTATCTCTTTCGTTGTCTTGAACTACCGAGCAAATTCTGTGTGTAACAGTGAGATCATGGTGAGGAGCAACTGTCTCTGGAACAGCTACAACATCATCACGCACTATTTCCACTGTATCCCAAAACTCATTCACATTACGATTCTCTCCATCAAAATCTTCATGTTCACTCTCGGGGACATTCTTCTTCATCAAAGTTACGCAAATAGGAATCGCACGTTTCTGGATCATTTTAATTAAAACCTTCATTTCAGCTTTAGAAGTAACCATTATAGGTGGAATTGAAATGGATGTATTCTCGCCCATTAGAAATCCCAATTCCATGACGTACTCAGAGAGATCGACTTTCAGCAAGTTCTGTATCTCATTGTACATTTTTGCATATGATGTCTTGATGTTATTACAATTGCAGTACAACCATGTCTTTCACTCGTCCATTTTCACACCCACCTATCACTGTCATTGTTTTCAAATTCACCAAGGTAACAAATCGGGACAGCAACTGATCCCATATCTGCATTAGGAAACATTATTTATTAAAAAAATTGTAATTATGAGAATAAAAGGACGAAAAAATATGACACACAAGGAAAAAAATGACGTGTCCGGGCAAGCTATTAAACATTCGGCCCGAACACATTTTTGGTCGGCTGTCTTCTATATTTTGCATCTGAGCAGATGAATTTTTTCCTCGTTTTTGCTAAAAAAATAATTAGACATCTATTTAAAACTGTAATATTTCATTTTTCTAAAATCATATGTTGAAATAAAATTTAAATATTTAAACAATGTACTAATTTAACTAAAATGAAATTAAACATAGGTATTTATATTTACCAATTTCAAGTGCCGACTGTGAGTAATATTCTTTTGTTGAGCCTTTGATAATTTTTTGAGATT